TTTTTTTTTTTTTGTAAAATTTCTAAAATCTAGTAATCATATTTTGGAACAAATTCTTATGAAACAATAGGTGTCTAATGTTAAAAAATTAAGGTAGTAATGTTCTTCAAGTTGAAGCGCCTAACTGCGTTACAAGACAAGGTCTCATATGGAATCCTCAATGCCAAAGGAGAGGCGGAAGACCAAAGAACACATTACGCCAAGAAATGGAGACAGACATGAGAAGAATGAGCAAGAATTGAATAGAACTAGAAAGGAAGGTTCAGGAAAGAGTGAGTTGGAGAATGCTGGTCGGCGGCCTATTCTCTAATGGGAGTAACAGGCGTAAGTAAGTAAGTAAATAAGTAAGTAGGTAAGTAGGTTCTTCAAGTTGTTTAGATGGTAGAATGAGTTTAATTTTAAACTCCTTAATGTTTGTTTTTTTGTATTCAGTTAAAATCCCATATATGTATGGAGTATAACATGACATTATTTCAATTATAATTGCTTTATAGCAACTGTCCTACAACCCAAATTTCGATGATGGTTCATTTTGGTCAAGTCCTTTTATTAACTTATTTAACAGACAATGTTATATGAACCGTAAAAATTTGCATATTTCTTTGTACTATTATAATTACTAGATCTTGATGGGGTTTTGATCTCTGACCTGGATGGTTTGGTAGTGAAGCTTTCATCGTTCTTCTGAACGACATCATCAACACAAACTTCAGGTAGAAGTGAAGTGTTCGGATTTCTTCACATGTAGTTCACATTTTGTCCTGTACACCTTGTTGTTGATTGGTTCTTAGTGACCTTAAACTTGTCATTGTTTACTTCTTTGTTTTGGTTGGGGAAATTTGAACACTTCACTTCTACCTGAAATTTGTACTGGTAATTTCGTTCAGAAGAACGATGAAAGATTCACGACCGAACTATCCAGCTCAGAGAACAAAAGTGCATCAAAATCATCCACCTGTGCTACAAATCTTCTCCACCATCTCAAGATCACATGATACACTTTAGTTAAAATGTTGATTGCTTAAATATCACTCGATGATTCATTCTCCTTCCCATGTATATATGTAATCAAATCTTATTATTAGTCCTTGCTTTGCCTTGTTGTGTCCTTATGAAATTTGACTACAAATTTGCCTATATAATTGCTCGTACATACTTGTACTTGTTCACCTCTGCGCTTCAAATACCCTCGATGTGCTTATAGCTTTGGGATCTGTACTATCCTCTAATAAACTGTAATTGCCGCTTCTCATTGCCTTCTGATTTTAAACACCATTATCGAAGTGATCAGTTAACGAAACAAAACCACTACAGTTTATATGTATATTTTTCTGAATGATTCTCATGGGTTATATGTTCCTTAATACCCATATCTCACCTCTGAACTACAAGTGAATTAAAGTTGGATAACTAAAATATTCTTGTATATAAATTATTTTCAGAAGGGGTTTTGTGAAGATTGTAGTAATTTCAATGATTAAGATGATGAGTCAATTGAAGCTAGACCACCATGGAGAACCTGAAAACACTGGACGGCGGTTTCGTCCCACTGTGGGACTCCTCAGCAGTACGCATCCACGACCTCGCACCCCCCTGCGAAACTCGAACCCAGGACCTGTTGGTTTCGCATACGAGCACTTAACCACTAGACTACTGAGCCGTTCGGGCATCCAATGGTGTTAATGTTTAACTTCAACTAATCCACGAAATTGAGCGACACATCCACCATTGTCTTTAGTGAGTTATTATCTCACAACAGACCTGGTTGAATTATTTCCTAATATTCCATTCATTTACATTATTTTGCAATTATCTCACAAGTATAAACACACACACACACAGACAGACACGCACACGCATGCGCGCGAAAATCAACAAACTGAAGGTTACATGATTAATTCAGAGAAAGAAAACAATCTCTTTCAATATAAATCGATAATATTATGTTGATTTGAATTTCTCTTCTGTTTTTCTTTTCTTTTCTTTTCTTTTTTTTTATAGCTTAATAAAACAGTAATGGTAATGGGCTTAGAAACAAAAACAAAAAACAACTGAAATTTCTACAGACTAAGCCTTAGGATAATCAACAGATGAGTTTAGAAAGATAAACTAAATAGAGAAGAAAAGAAAAATAAAGATGAATGAATCATTTATATTTATAACCAACTTATTTTTGTTGTTGTTGTTGTTGATTTTTTTTCTTTTCTCTTCAATAACTAAATCATGTAACTATGGGATATAATTCGTTTTATCCATTGCTACTATTAGTAATATATAGATATAAACAAAATCCAGGAAAAAGAAATAGAGAGACTGGGGTGGGGGAAGATTTGTAGATCAAGTGGATAATTTTGGTACACTTTTGTTCTCTGAGCTGGATGGTTTGGTCGTGAAGCTTTCATCTTTCCACTGAACGACATCATCAGTACAAACATCAGAATGATGTGTTTTTTTTCCTTTCATAACGATACCATCCAGTTCAGAGAATAAAATTCCATCGAAAATAAACATGGAGACTATATATATAGGGAGAATTTAGCAGATAATTGATTATTTATTGATTGATTTCATTTGTTTTTTCTTTGTATTTTTTTTGTTTGTTTTTTTTTCCAATAAAAAGACAAAGTTAATTATTTGTAAACAAATTCTAATGTTTGTTTATTCGATTAAAAAATAACTATTAATGTGATTCCGTGAGAGAAATGATAACATACAATGGTGATATCAGCTATTTATATACATATAAGTAGTATATAACGATAGTTAGGAATAGAATGTATTTCGGTAGAAGATCGTTAAGGAAAGAATGAAAACGGAATTGGAAACGGAAAGTAATTGATATAAAAATGTAGGAACAATGGAATCTGAAACTATTTACTGATATTTGCAAAGGGAACAGTTAAGTTTGAGTCAATGGATTGATATGTTACAAATGAAGATAGATTCATTTGATATTATTTCACTGGTTGAAATCATGAGTCAATTGAAGCTAGACCACGATGGAAAACCTTAAAGAACCGGGCGGCCATATCTTCCTAGTACGGGACTTCTCAGCAGCACACATCCACGACCCCGCCCCCCCAGCGAGATTCGAACCCAGGAGCTATCAGTCTCATGCCAGGCACTTGACCAAATAGACCACTGAGCCTGCCGGCATCCAACGGTGTTAATGTCTAAATTCAACCAATCCACGAAGATGCGCCACCGTACACCATTGTCTTCAGTGAGATGATATCTCACAACAAACTTGGTCGAACTCTACTGGTAACGGCTTCTCACTGGAACTCCGTTAGGTCCTGGGTTCGAATCTCGCGAGGGGCGTGATCGTAGATGCGCACTGTTGAGGAGTCCCATGCAGGGACGAAACGGCCAACCAGTGCTTCCAGGTTTTCCATGGTGGTCTGGCTTCAATTGACTCATGATTTCAACCAGTGAAATTTATAAAATCTCCACACAACTCCTTCTGATATTATTTGTTTGAAATCGTCCTAATGATGTATAGAATTATAGATGATCAGTCTCATATTGTTATATATTCATCTTGGGCGGATTACCTTAATTCATAAGCATTATAAACAAAGATGGATGGTAGATGGTAGTGGAATGCAGAATGCGCGTTTTGTTCTATTAGCGACTTGTCAACTGGATTTACCTGCATCTCAGAGTTGATATTCACTCTGGGACTCGAACCCAATACCTTTCGCTTGAAATGCCATCCCGTTATTCACTCAGAACTCAGCAGCTAAGTACTGGGTTCCAGTCCCGGAGTAAAAATCAACTATAGTATACAGGTACATCCATCTGAAGAGTCCCAAACAGAACGAAACAAGCATGAGGAATCCCACTGCTAGCCACCGACCATCTTTACTCATTGAAGATAGTTTTTTTATTATCAACTGGTAAAAGGTTTTAAATCACTGGAGAATTAAAAACTAACGGGAAGTTAATGTGTGTCAAAGATGTCATCATATGAACTTATAATCTTATAGTGAACACAATACCATAAAGCTATTGAGGTTAAATTTATCAGTTCATATTTTTCAATCTTAGTCAATGTATGACTAAGTGAGATCATTTTTCACTATGATAAGTTTGTTATTTGTATTACTCCAAACATACTATTTTTTATTTACGCCTATTACTCCCTATGAAGCATAGGCCACCGACCAGAATTCTCCAACACACTCTGTCCTCGGCCTTCCTTTCTAGTTCTATTCAATTCTTGCTCATTCTTCTCATATCTGTCTGTCTCTATTTCTCGGTGTATTATGTTCTTTGGTCTTCCACTTCTTCTTTCGCATTGAGGATTCCATGTGAGGGCTTGTCTTGTGATGCAGTTCGATGGTTTCCTCAATATGTGTCCTATCAACTTCCAGCAGTTTTTCCTGATTTCTTCGTCTATCGGAATCTGGTTTGTTCTCCAACAAAGTAGATTGTTGTTAATAGTGTCTGGTCAACGGATCTTGAGTATTTTGCGTAGAAAAATGTTATTAAACACTTGTATCTTCTCGATGATGGTTTTCGTAGTTGTCCAAGTTTCCCAACTGATATTAATCAGTACCTTTACAAACTATTCAGATAAATATGAGATGTATTATTTATTTTCGGTAAGACTATAATTTATGGACAACCTTTGAGTAATGTTAAAGTAACCTTGAAAGTGTTCACTTAATAACTAGGACTAAATGAAGATTATAAACCAGTGTATGAGGAATCCGAACGATGATTTACATTTGATAGTTAGGGTTAAGAATTAGATTTGGGGTGGGTTGGGGGGTGGTTCATCCCAAACTGACATTAACTATAATGCTAAAAACTCTATTTATCCAAATAGATGAATGAATTTCATATCAAAATTCATAATCTATTATCTTCTATTTGATTGATTTCATTCATTAATTATAGTTCCGCCTTATTTTCTTATTAACCTATAAACTATTCACTTGACAACAATCTTAACAGTACAATAATGTTTTAAAATAAGGTAAATGATCACTTACTTTAGGTTTTATTATTGATCCACCAGGAGTTACATTTGCTTTATCATGTTTCTGAGTTATATTATTATTATTATTATTATTGTTTTCTTTTCCTTCACTCTCAATATTTAATTTTACATTTGGATCTATTCCACTTTTTATTGAATCACGTTTATGTTCTTCTGGAATAACCCATGGTGGAATAGCACCAGCTTCACGTCGATGTGACATATGTATATATGTAATAATAATAATGCAATAGAACTATATTGTTTTAATCAAATATTCAATGAATTATTTTTATAATTTGTGTGAATGTCTTTTCTTGGTTCTTTTTTTCTTTTTTTTTTTGAAAAGAAAACAAAAAAAAGAAAAAGAAAACAAAAAAAAGAAACGTAAAAGAACGAATCAAATATGATTATGAATTCATCAATTCTAATAACCTATCAATCAATCAATCAATCAATCAATCAATCAATCAATCAATCAATCAATGAAATAAATCAATTTTTGATTGGTTTAAACAATCATTATAATTCTGAATATTAGAATTTATAATTATAACTAAATAAATCTTATGTATCAGTTATTCATCGAACTCACAATAAATAGATGATAGTTAGGAAAAGAAATCTGTTTTTCCCAATGGTCATATATCATTGGTTAAAATATTCTCTTTATAGTATTCCCTATATATATATATATATATATATATATATATATATATATATATATATATATATATATATATATATGGATAGTATGATTGGAAAGTTCTGATAAATGGGATAATGGATTTTCATTACAATTTGTTACGGTAACAGCAAAAAAACAACAAAAAAAAACAAAAAATAAATAAATAGACCAATCAAATTGAAGGATAATAGGATAACTGTTTCTTCCTATTCTATGATTGGTTTAAGAATAATTAGGCTGTTTATTATTATTATTATTATTATTATTATTATTATTATTATTATTATTATTATTATTATTATTATCAGATGGGTATTGTGGATATTATAGTCATTTCAACTGACTCATGATTTTAACCATTGAAATTATTAAAATCTCCACAAAACTCCTTCTGAAAATAATACTAATCATCTGCTCACTAATGACTGGCTTCAAGAGGTATTTCCTCGAGTTCTAGTGAGAAGCAGTGACCAGTGGAGTTCAATCAGGTCTGTTGTGAGATAGTAACTCGCTGAAAAGAATGGTGGATGTGTCTCTCAATTTCATGGATTAGTTGAAGTTAGATATTAACACCGTTGTATGCCAACCGGCTCAGTGGTCTAGTGGTTAAGTGCTTGTGCGCGGAACCAATAGGTCCGGGATTCGAATCTCGTAGGGGCGGGGTCGTGGATGCGCACTGCTGAGGAGTCCCACAATAGGATGGAACGGCCGTCCAGGTTTTCCATGGTGGTCTAGCTTCAACTGACTCATGATCTTAACCATTGAAATTATTATTATTAATATTATTATTATTGAAACCAAGACAATTGATTGTTGGTATTCTATGAATTCTGTTTTGTTTCTTTTTGATGATGATGATGATGATGATTTGAATGATGATGATTTGGATGATGATTTGGATGATGATGATGATGATGATTTGGATGATGATGATGATGATTTGGATGATGATGATGATTTGGATGATGATGATGATGATTTGGATGATGATGATGATGATGATGATTTGGATGATGATGATGATTTGGATGATGATGATGAAGATGATGATTATAAAATCTCCACCAACTGATGAAATCAATCTGATAAACTTCCGGTGAGGCTATAATTTATGAACGAATCAATCAGGTATAAGATGAAAGGTCTTGAATTTTAGCGCAAAATCCAATCATTCATTTGGCTAAATACAGTTTTGGCATTTTAGCTAATGTTGGTTTGTGATGAAATACCTTAAATCTACTTCTTAATCATAACCATCCACTGTAATTCATAATTCTAATTTCTCACATTGATAAAATAATCCTCATTTGGTCCTAGTTATTATGCAGACACTCTCAAGATCACTTTGACGTTGCTCAAAGGTTGTTCAAAGTCTCACTAAACATTCTTTAAGCACCGTAACCACTTTCTTATACTTCTTTTCTTGGAATATAAGCGAACACAATTGATTAAATCTTTATGAATATACTAGTTTATTTACTTCAGTAAAGCCAAGTGTGTCTATCATTCATCAAGACGCTTTCTTCATTTCAATCAAGACTATGTCCTAGAATGATCGTGTATTTTTATTCTTCAGTATTTAATAGATCCAAGTCCATATTTTTTCTTTAATATAATTTATAAGTTATAGACAAATATTTTGAGAAGTTTATCAACGTTGCTTAGTAGAAACTTTAAAGATCTGTAATTAGGTATCAGAGTTATCTGTATAAAAACAGTTTGTTAGATAGTCTTTTGAATATGATCCTAATTAATTGATCTTTTGATTTTGTGTTACGTTTAAAAAAAGTGTTTCAGTTCATCTAATACTTATTTTTATTTACCCTTCTCTCCCTTTCTCTTTGTTCTGGTGATTGATTGGATTAGGAAGACCTCAACATCTAAGGGGAAGCATGAAATCAACTACACGATTTGGACTTCGCGGATCACCTAGCTCTTCTATTTCATACACATCAACAAATGCACGTAAAGACAAACAGTGTAGTGACAGCCTCTGCATCAGTAGGCTTCAATATACACGAAGGAAAATGCATGATCCTCAAATACAACACGGAGAACAATGCGATCATATTTGATGAAGAGACTCTAGAACAGGTGGAACCTTTCACATGCCTGGACAGCATCATAAATGGACAAAAAAGATCGGATGCAGACATAAAAGAGAGGATTGACAAAACAAGGACAGCATTCCGACAACTGTAGAACATATGGAACTCGAAACAACTGACAACCAATATCAAAGTCAAAATCTTCAATACAAACATCAAGACAGTTCTACTGTATGCAGCTGAAATGTGCAGAACTACCACAATCATTATTAAGAGAGTACAAGTATCCATAAAACATTATCTACAAAAGATACTGAATGTCCGTTGACTAGATACCATCAATAACATCCTAATATGGTAGAGAACAAACCAACTTCCATCTGAAGAAGAAATTAGGAAAAGACTTTGGAAGTAGATAAGGAATACATTACAGAAATCATCAAACTACATCACGAAGAAAGCGCTTACCTAGAATCCTGAAGTGAAACGGAAAATAGAAAGGCCAAGGAACATATTGTGTTAGGAATGGGAAGCAGATATGTAAATGATGAATAGCAACTAGAAACAATTGGAAAGGATTGTTTAGGACAGAGTTTATTGAAGAATGCTGGTGGTTGGCCTATTCTCCTCCTTAAGGGATAACAGGCGTTATCATTCATATTACAGGTCAACCATTAAAACTTCTAGGTTAGTAATATATAGGTTTACTCTTTTCTTATCATAATGGTCAAATATCTCTTACATTTCTTAAATTTCCTATTTGTAATCTTATACTTAAAATTATTTAGCCAATGTTTTGAATTACATCGAGTTGTGACCGTTAGTGAAATCTATATGTTAGTGGGACATAGACTGGATTAAAGCATGCTCAATGTACGATTGATTTGGCGCACGCTGATTGGCTAATTCTTGTCCAATCAGCGCTAGTCGATACATGGAGAAGACTCTAGAATCTTCTTATGTAAAAACTATAAATATTACTAACGGTTTTCCTATTGTGCTCTTTTCTTCCATCTAACCTTGTTATTTGGAATACAATCTCTTTCCTGTCAAACCGTGTTCTGATTTGGGGACTTGTCGAGCGACTTGGTGTACGAGAATACCAAGCAATAGGAATAGCTGGGTTATAACCGTAAGAGAGAATTATAACATTATAACTTCACTTTTATCCCATTTATGATTCACCAACTGATTATAGTAACATCCTTTTACTAATATTTGCTCATAACACAAATGTCCATCACCTATCACTTGAACACATCAACACATCACCCACTTATCTACTAAGTTCAGATAACTATTAACTTATCTAACAACTATGATAATTATCAATATATGGGTTGTGAAGATTGATGAACTTGATTGGAATCATGAACTGAATGAAGTCAGACAACCATTAAAATCTAGAAAAACTATGTTACCGTTTCGTTCCAGTATGGAACTTTTCAATAGTAGGAATCCACAACCATACAATCGGAAATCGAACCCAGGACATTCGGTTTCATGTGTGAACAGAATTGGATTTTAATTTTTCAAGTCATAAACTGTTTTCTATACACGCAAAAGATAAACGTTTTCTTTCCCTCTCTATTTGTATAACATGTAATAGATTCTTGCATAGCAAGAACATTAACTGTAGTTAGAATCCGCCTGGAGTTACAGAGCATCTCACTAAAATCTGAGGACTTTATAGTAAATCGTTAATTTGCAAAATATCAACTCATCGTCTCAAACTTGACTGTTTCCTTAGCAAATATCAGTCCATTGTCTCGAATTTCATTGTTCATGCCTTTTCATACCAATTCCGTTCCGTTCCTGTTCTTTCCTTATCGATCTTCTACTGAAATACATTCTATGCCTGACAACCGTTATATACTACTTATATGGATCTAAGTAACTCACACCACAGAATCAGTTAAATAATTTACATATTGTTTTGAAGATTATGTACATGGTTCATTATACTGGCTAAGATTTATTGAGTTCTAACTGTTTGAGATAATATAAATGTTGTTTATTGAATAAAATGAAACTTGAACTTTGTATACATAAGTAGTATATTGAATCTTTGTTGTAACCATGGTTACAACTCATTATTGTTATTATCATCATTATTTCCATTTCATATACATTTGTATTCGGAAATGTTTCTCTTACACAGAAGAGTCTTCTGATTTTTTTTTAGTTTTCACACTGAATTATTTTCTGTATTGATTTAAATGATTGACATTAATACTTGAATACTCAATTTTAATGAAATAATGAACATCCGTTTTTAATTAGTCTCTTCAATTTTATTCTTAATAGTCTTAGTTTATTATTTTAACACTTTTTCTTTAGCAACATACAGTTTGTAGAAAGTAAATGATCACTGACAGTGATCAATCAATTGCAAATGCATTTCAGTACTACGGAAGGTCAATCGTGGCTTGGATTGTTCAGTGGTAACGTCTCTGACTGTGAAGTTGGGTAATATGATACTCAGTAAGATTTTCTAGTACCTCGATTTTTTTATTGTTGTCATATACAGGAAGCCCACTGTTGATCTCTCTAATTGTCTCAGATATACTTATTACCTCATTCTATAAGATTTGAATCTTCCTAAAGTCGACTTCGCTAAAATTATG